AAATTTTTACATCAACATTAATGAAAAAAATATATCTTTAAACGTATAAGAGAAAATTTTAGAAAGGACTTAATTTTAAATGAGTTCCTGCTAATTGACCAGTTTTACATATTCGGCACGACATATATTATATATATATATATATATATATATATATATATATATATATATATATATATATATATATATATATATATATATATATATATATATATATATAAATGCTGTAAAGAGCTTTTATGAGGATAGTGAGGCACAGGTTAGGGTGTGTAGAAGAGAGGGAGAATACTTCCCGGTAAAAGTAGGTCTTAGACAGGGATGTGTAATGTCACCATGGTTGTTTAATATATTTATAGATGGGGTTGTAAAAGAAGTAAATGCTAGGGTGTTCGGGAGTGGGGTGGGATTAAATTATGGGGACTCAAATTCAAAATGGGAATTGACACAGTTACTTTTTGCTGATGATACTGTGCTTATGGGAGATTCTAAAGAAAAATTGCAAAGGTTAGTGGATGAGTTTGAGAATGTGTGTAAAGGTAGAAAGTTGAAAGTGAACATAGAAAAGAGTAAGGTGATGAGAGTATCAAATGATTTAGATAAAGAAAAATTGGATATCAAATTGGGGAGGAGGAGTATGGAAGAAGTGAATGTTTTCAGATACTTGGGAGTTGACGTGTCGGCAGATGGATTTATGAAGGATGAGGTTAATCATAGAATTGATGAGGGAAAAAAGGTGAGTGGTGCATTGAGGTATATGTGGAGTCAAAAAACATTATCTATGGAGGCAAAGAAGGGAATGTATGAAAGTATAGTAGTACCAACACTCTTATATGGATGTGAAGCTTGGGTGGTAAATGCAGCAGCGAGGAGACGGTTGGATGCAGTGGAGATGTCCTGTCTAAGGGCAATGTGTGGTGTAAATATTATGCAGAAAATTCGGAGTGTGGAAATTAGGAGAAGGTGTGGAGTTAATAAAAGCATTAGTCAGAGGGCAGAAGAGGGGTTGTTGAGGTGGTTTGGTCATTTAGAGAGAATGGATCAAAGTAGAATGACATGGAAAGCACATAAATCTATAGGGGAAGGAAGGAGGGGTAGGGGTCGTCCTCAAAAGGGTTGGAAAGAGGGGGTAAAGGAGGTTTTGTGGGCGAAGAGCTTGGACTTCCAGCAAGTGTGCATGAGCGTGTTAGATAGGAGTGAATGGAGACGAATGATACTTGGGACCTGACGATCTGTTGGAGTGTGAGCAGGGTAATATTTAGTGAAGGGATTCAGGGAAACTGGTTATTTTCATATAGTCGGACTTGAGTCCTGGAAATGGGAAGTACAATGCCTGCACTTTAAAGGAGCGGTTTGGGATATTGGCAGTTTGGAGGGATATGTTGTGTATCTTTATACGTATATGCTTCTAAACTGTTGTATTCTGAGCACCTCTGCAAAAACAGTGATAATGTGCGAGTGTGGTGAAAGTGTTGAATGATGATGAAAGTATTTTCATTTTGGGGATTTTCTTTCTTTTTTGGGTCACCCTGCCTCGGTGGGAGACGGCCGACTTGTTGGAAAAAATAAAAAAATTATATATACAGGTCTCCCTCAACATTCGCGAGGGTTAGGGGATCAAGAGCCTCGCGAATGTTGAAAAACCGTGAATGTTTGGTGCCCCAATATATTGTAGGGAAATATATTACAATACTGCTTCCTTAACTTGCTGAACCATGAATAATCATAAAATACATGAAAACGTCGTAAATTGTACTAAATATATACATCTTATGCTTTAATAACGTATGTTATTTAATAACATGTATGTTAACAACATGTATGTTATTAAATAACACAGACTCCACCACTGCCTCCACCACTGCGAGTCCCTACTACCCTCCCTCCGACCCCCACAACTGGCAGCCAGCCCTCCCACCACTCAGTGTGGTGAGTGTTTTGTTTCTTCATTTTTTGCTATTAAACTACAGAATAAATAATGTAAACTCATCCATGACTGCATATTGGAACAGCTATTAGGAAAGGTATTAGACAGTGACATCATGTGTTTACTCTTGAACACTGCAAAGAATCGAACATTTCTGCTATTGCTAATAATAACAATAATAATAATAATAATAATAATAATAATAATAATAATAATAATAATAATAAATATGATATAATTGAAGAAGGAAATTGTACAAAAATATGAGAGAGTGGTTGACACATCGTCAGTGTGACTTTGTTTATGCTGGAGTGAACATTAGTCTCCCTGCTCTTCCAAACATTTCACAATAATTCAGCGGTTGAGGCAGTGGTATTTAATAACATATATGTTATAAATAATAATAGTACATGTTATTATTAATAACATGTATTATTATTAACATGTATGTATTTAATAACATATATGTTATAAATAATAATAGTACATATTATTAATAACATGTATTATTATTAACATGTATGTTATTAAATACCATTGCCTCAATCACTGCCTCTACCACTCCAGTCACACTCAATCTACAAGCACCAAACACAATGAATTATTGTGAAATGTTTGGAAGAGCAGGGAGACTAATGTTCACTCCAGCATAAACAAAGTGTCACTGACGATGTGTCAACCACTCTCTCGTATTTTTGTACAATTTCCTTCTTCAATTATATCATATTTATTATTATTATTATTATTATTATTATTATTATTACTACTATTGTTATTATTAGCTGTAGCAGAAATGTTTAATTCTTTGCAGTGTTAAAGAGTAAACGCATGATGTCACTGTCTAATACCTGTTCGAATAGCCATTCCAATATGCAATCATGAATGGGTTTACATTATTTATACTGTAGTTTAATAGCAAATAGTGAATAAACAAAACACTCACCACACTGAGTGATGGGAGGGCTGGCTGCCAGTTGCAGGGGTCGGAGGGAGGGTAGTAGGGACTCGCAGGTGGCGGGAAACTTAAATATGATTTGGCGGCTGGGAATTTGGTGGCTGGGAATTTGGCGGTTGAGAATTCGCGAATGTGTGAAGCCCGTGAAAGCTGAAAATGTGAATGTTGAGGGAGACCTGTATATATATTCCATGGGGAAGTGGAACAGAATTCTTCCTCCTTAAGCTATGTGTGTTGTAAGAGGCAACTAAAATGCCAGGGGCAAGGGGCTAGTAACCTCTTCTCCTGTATATATTACTAAATGTAAAAGGAGAAACTTTCGTTTTTCCTTTTGAGCCACCTTGCCTTGGTGGGATACGGCCGGTGTGTTGAAACAAGAAGAAAGATATACAGTGGACCCCCGGTTAACGATATTTTTTCATTCCAGAAGTATGTTCAGGTGCCAGTACTGACTGAATTTGTTCCCATAAGGAATATTGTGAAGTAGATTAGTCCATTTCAGACCCCCAAACATACACGTACAAACGCACTTACATAAATACACTTACATAATTGGTCGCATTGGGAGATGATCGTTATGCGGGGGTCCACTGTATATATATACACCAAAATTCTAGGGTCTCCAAAATGGTCTCAATCTGCCTGGTTAGGCCTACATCAGAAAATGCATGTCTGTGCCGTAAGTGTGATCCGTATAAAAAAAAATAAGTGTTGTGAGCAAGGCAGTGTGGGAGCCAGTAAAAGCCATTTTCATTTGTTTACTGTTTCATTGAATATTAAATACTGTACGAGTGAAATATATGAAAACACATAGGTGAAACTATACGATCCATAAACAATTAAAAAACTGGAAAAAATCGTAAAAAAATATTAAAACAGCAATTTTCTTTACACTGCAAGCACTTGTATTGCCATAATGTGATCACTAGCATCACCTCGAAACTTTCATATCACCGTATATACTGATCAGACTTAACTCGTTCTTGTCTTATTTCACTTCTAAAATCAGAGAGAATTTTTCCTAAAGATAAAATTTTTTTTTTCAAAATTGCCAGTGTACTAAGGGCATGCTTATTTTAGACCCTTTGGCAGTTTAAGGGTTAAAGAAAATGGTTATGAAATTACTGAAGCTTTAAAAAATATCTACTGTACCTGTGCATGTTTTTAGATAATTACAATTTTTGTGGTATTAAACAACTGCTTTTGGATTTTAAATATACAACTCCTTTAAAATAAATGTAAATTACTGTGACCTTATAATGCCCTTTTCAAAGATTTAAAGCACATTATGAGAGCAAATATTATTTACATTTATCTTATAATCATCAGCAAGATTACAGCAACCAAAACAAACTTTATGAAGCATATAACAAGACATATTTTAGTTAATTATGCACATCTTAACTAGACATAGTTAATTATGCACATCTTAACAAGACATGTTTTAGTTAATTATGCACATCTAATTATCAGTTATATGCAGCACCCTCTATATTTATATATATCATTCACATGCTTCACACACTTCATAAGAAACATACTTTAAATGACAAACCATAAGGACTTCTTGATAATTTGTGAAAGCAGTTCAGAGGGTTAGCTTTGATAAAATAAAGCATTAATTTGTTAAACATAAAAATACAGCATTAGGGTGCCATTCTATTAAATACGAAAGTGTTTAAAGTTTGATGATAGCATGGTGTATATTTCAATTTGTAAAATTTTATGAAACTCCATGAAATTTTGTGAAAATTCTGCAATTTTTGGTTAGGTAATTACAAGGTATTTTAATAAACTGAAAAAGATGTTACTTTTACATTTTACTCAAATTACCTACATAATGTTGCCTTCCTGTAGTTACTATTTCCTATGTCCCCTTGTAGTTACCAGTTTCTTGGTATACTTAACCCATAAATAATTTGTAAGAACAAACTCCTTATACTTAAATTACAATAAAGCCCACTGTTCAGCTTATTCATGACTAGTATACCAGAAAAAAAAGTAAGTGATATATCCAACCTAATATAGTTAAACTACACTCTGAGGAGATCATCATCGCTATCATCAACTCTAAACACTCTAACAGAGCTGGTGGTTCCTAGAAGTGTTGAGTTTTCAGACCGTGGCTGGCCAATGTTCGTGTACCCTCTGATTCCGAAGAGCCTTCGAGCTGAAGCCACCACATGTTGCCCTCTCTCCGACTTGAAAAGTATCAGCACCGCCACAAAAACAATGCCAGAGATGACAAGTACACTGGCAATAACAGCAGATGTTGCAGAGAATGGCTTCATAACTTTACTTTTTTGTGGGTTTGAAGTACCACTATCATTTTTGACATTGTCCATATTGTCATCAGTAATTGATGGCCTCTCTTTGACACCTGGTACTATGTCAGTAGTCCCAGTATTGTGGACAGCTGGCTTTTCTGTGGCATCCAGTACCATGTCGGTATTCCCATTATTATAGATGGCCTCAATGCAAGTTATATTTGTTTTCCAGCGGAATACAGCTAAGCAGTCCAGGCTTTCCATTAAATCATCAGCAACTGGATAACCAAAGCCAGCACTCATGTCACATTCAAAGTATATAGAAGTGGTCTTATGACCTGAGAGTGCACCAACACAGGAGGTTCCTCCGTAATATGTGAGCTTGAGCTGATCGTAGTCCCATTTCAATTCAGATTTATTAATTAGCCCATAACTATCTCCATCAGAGGTGCAAACACCAGATTCTTGGCAAACAGGACCACAAATATTTATTTTATATATTTTGTTTCCAAATTTAACTGAATAGCCTATTTTTCGCTGAAGGGGTGTCAAATCAATATTGGCTTTTGCAGCATCAAACTTAATTTGACACACAGGACCTGTATCTGGTTTAGTGACAGATTTTTCGCAGACAAGACTTGTTCGCCACTCAAACTGGTACTGGCAATCATGAGTTCTATTCTTGAAAACTGGGTTTCCCTGTAAAGAAATTCCATATTGAATGTCAAGTCATGGTTTCACATAGTAATAATTTAGCCTATACCACTTTCTCACAAAAATCTATAAATATTAATTCTTTTAAAATACTGGTACAGTATGAAATTTACTAAACTAGCAGAGTGACCCTGTCCTTTATATTAGTGCCTTAGATGAGGTTAGACTTTTTAAAAATGTTTAGTATCCCACTCTATTCTGCATATAGGAAATTATTTAATCATATTTAAAATAAGCTTTTCACCTAACGTTGTATCTGATTTTGTCTATACATATACATAGTGTGGTCACACGGTTGATTCATTCCTGTTATTTCAAATACACACATAATCCAGTTCAAATTTACTTAATCCTTTGCCAACCTAAACCCCAGTCTCATACTGGACACAAAAATTAGCACAAAGCAACAAATCACTCAGTTTCCTGACTAACTAATACAATGCATTTTTTTCAATTATAGTAATCTGCATTTGAATCAGCTCTAACCTCACCTTATGAATTTGTTAAAATTTCATCCTCCTACTGATGAAAAATGTATCTGATTAGAATTTTTCTAATACTGAAAATGATAAGGCATTTCAATATGAATGGGTGCAGCAACCATAAAATGCAATAAGTTTTCTTGGTATGGCAGATGGTAAGACCTTAAATATTATGTAAAGTATCTATGAAGATTAAAGAATGTGCCAAAACTGAGTTTGTGCCAGCAAAACAAATAATGGCACTTGTAATATATTCAAGAAATTTAAGTGCTAAATAAATAAAAATGAAATCTGAAAATCAAATATTATGGCAAGATGAAGTTTTAGAGAGAGTAAACATACAAAAACAAAGCAGTACTAAAACATACCATGCCAGCTGATACATCACAGATGAAGTGAATGCGAGATGAAATGCTGTAGTCTTGGTTGGAAGTGCAGGTGGAACCATGTGTATACATAATTTGTACTCCATCATTGTAAATGTATGTAGGTGTCACATCTGGATGACCTAGACTTAAAATCTTCGTTTCCAGAGTTGGACTATAGAGACAAGCACTGGAACCTGGTTGACAATTTAGGCCAGCTATAGGATTGAGAGGTCTGCAAACATTCAAATAAAATTTTTCCTTTGGATTATCTGGGTTTGACGTTTCATAATTTCCTGAAGCCTTAATTAGGGGGGAGAGATCAATACGATGTTCCCAAGTATCAACAAAACAGTTTATCCTTCTTTCACAAGCTAGATCTGTGTACCAGTTGACAAAATATGTGCACCGATCCAAGTCGTCATGTATCAATACTGGGCCCTCTTTGGCACTCTCAGCTCCACAGATAAAGCTGATTAATGTAGACCGCTTTGTAGCATTGCTGCACTCGTCACCCCCTGTGTAGTGAAGGAAAAGAAAACCTGGAAGGAAGTGAAGATTGGCATTAGCCTGGCCAGCATTTACTATGTTAGTTTCACTGTTATGCATGAAACTACAAGCTGCTGCACCTTTCTTTGAGCATTTTTCTTGGCTGACTTCTGCACAAACATTCAGGACAAGATGGAGACCCTCACTATCTTGTACTTCATACCCAGTATCTCTCTTTAATGAGTTAAGATCGAAGTTGTAACCGGTATAAGAATTGGAAACTGTGCAATTTTCTGCATTTATTTCTGATGTAGTAGTAGTTTCTGTTGATACTGGGCATGCAACAGAGGTTTTCCATTCAAAAAGGTATTTACAATTCTCTTCACCAATGAGTTGTGGGTAAGGATAGAGCTCATCTTTGTCACACTTGAACTCAATTACTGTTTCATACCTCTTAGAGCTATTTCCACAAAATTCACCTCCTGTATACTTTAATTTCAAATTGCCATCTTCCAAATAGGGACCACTGTGAACTTCACCAATATTCACTGATTTGTTTTCATGCTTAAGGTCAATAACACAAGCTGCAGCATTATAAGGACACCTACTGCTCTTGCTGTGCACTATAGATCTGCAAACATTTAGTACAAACTTTCTGGAGTCACCAGGATTAAAGTACTCTTCATTCATATTGGGTGATGATAGCTCATTGAGGTCATATACCATTCCATCACTAGTAAACACACTACAATCTACAACACGGAAGGGTGGGCAAGCATGTCTAGTACGCCACAAAAAGTAATATGTGCAAGAGGTTTCATGCAGAAAATGAGGCCCATCCCTACCATTTTCCTCTTGATCACAAAGAAAAATAATCTGTGTCGACCTTGTGTTATCACCTTCACATCCTCCTGATCCATTGGCAAAGTTCATTGTCAGAGTGCCATCATTAAATGTTACATTAGAAGTTGCTAGTCCAGCACTATATTCCTCATCTCCTTTGATTTGACATATTCCTGAAGTACCTCCCTTGCATGATGTTACAAGTGGCCCACACAAATTTACCAAGTAATTGTGTTCACCATCTGTGATGTTGTAATCCTTATTTTCATTTCTTAATGGGTTCAGGTCATATAAATTCTCATACAGTGGATCTACAACTTGACAGGCACTACCTTTCCTCACGTGGCGTGGGCAAGCAACTGGTGTCAGCCAGTTAAACACATATTCACAAGTTTCGGTTTCCTCCACTAGCATAGGATGATGTTCAACTGGGTTACACACCAAGTTGATTCGAGTTGAGCGAGTATGTTGTCCATTTTTACACATGTCACCACCTGTAGAGTAAGTTCAGCATTAAAAATTATGCAGACCAAAAAAGCACTACTCAAAAGATAAAAGTAAGTACTGCACCAGTAACCATTTTGTTTATTACAACAGCTGTCTCCTGCCAAGGAAGGGTGACCCAAAAAAGAAAACCCATTCACCAACATTCATTCAGTTCTCTTGCAAAAAGCATGCTGACATCACAATTCAGATTATCCTCCAACAGCAACATCCTCACCCCTCCCTCAGAGTGCAGGCGATGCACTCAACACCTCCAGGACTCAAATATGGCTAATTGGTATCTCTGAATCTCCTCATTAACATTTCCTTGCTCACACTTCAACAGCAGTGCCTTAAAAATCACTTGTTTCCAATTACTCATATCTATCATGCTCACACAAGCCGCTGAAACACGAAGCCTCTTTTACCCCCTCCCTCCAACCAATCCTGGGACAACACCTACCCCCTACCTTTAACCCCATATTTATATACCTTCTTCATTATCTTATCTTTCTCCAACCTCTTTACAAGTTCAAACCACCTCAACAATCCTTCCCCAGGCCTCTAAATTATACCCTTGGTGACTATGTTACCTAATTTTTACACTCTGAATTCTGTGTATAATATTCAAACCAATCACTGCTCTTAAACATAACAATGCCACTGCCCTTAGCCTCCTGTTTTGCCTCCATGCCTCACTTATTTTTTTATTAACACATTGGGCCGGATTAAGGCATGGGCTTTAGGGGCTACAGCCCAGGGACCTCTGCCAGCTGGAGGGCCTCCAGAGATGTTCTCAAGAACTTACAATTTACTGATGTTTTGGAGAAATTTGTTTCCAAGAAATTATGAAAATTTTAATTGTGGTTAGCCTTATAAAAATAAACTTATTATTTCTTTAGCTTTTTTTCCTTTTGAAAATATCAGTGGGGGCCCTCACAATACCTGTAGCTCAGGGGCTTACAAAATCTTAATCTGGCTGTGAAGGAAGGTAATATTTATGAAGGAATTCTGGGAAACTGGTTAGGTAATCTTTGGTTCTAGAGGCAGAATGAACAGTGCCTGCATTGAAAAGAATGAGTGGAGAAAGCTGTGGTTTGGTGGGTCATTTGAACTGTGATATCCATGCAATTTTGGAAAGACAGAATCAACTTGAATGATTGGGAATGTCCTTTCCAATACCATACAAGACAGACACATGCAAATGTACACAATCAAAGACAGTAAATATGCACAAATATATAATTAAAAAAAAATACCCACCTGTATACAAAACTGTAATTGATCCATCTTTGTTTACATATGGGTGAGAAGCAATGAAGCCAAGGTTGTAAGAGGCCTCCCTTCCTACACTGGTCTGACATGCAAATGCAGGGCCCAAAGGACAGTGATAGAAGGTCCCTTCATTCACCTCTCCACAAATATTGATGTGGTACATGTCATTCTGTGAAGAAATAAATAAGTTTATTTAGGAACAGGTACACATAAGTACAGTTATCATACACAGTGTAAATTACCTAGGATAACCCAAAAAATAGTCAGACAAAGTGACTTATTTCCACTGGAGTCCTTGTAATATCTTATAATTTAAACCTTAAAAGTTAAAACAGCTAAGTAACTTAACTGTGTGAAAATCGGTTACAATAAAAGGAGATATGCTAGGAATAACGTAAACTGCGTTATTTATACATATTAACATTAAAGAGAGGATCAGCTTACAATAATAAGTACATGAATGTTAGCTATACAGGAAATCAGTGTTTTAAAATAGTCATAATATCACACTTGAAATATTGCAATGCCCAAGCTACATAAGATTTCAAAGTAAAATTAATAAATAAAACCCTCATAAATAGCTTTGATTTCCTTTTCATACATAAAATAAAGTACAGTATAGTACACTATACCTTCAAACCTTTGATGAGTTTTGAGAGTTCAACTCCCAGAGCCCAGCAATGGGCCAGGCTTGTCTGGTACTTGCCTGGTAGACCAGACTGTTACTATTGGTGGCCTGCTGGCCCACATATCCATCACAGCCTGGTTGATCTGGCACTTGGCAGAGATACTTGTCAAGTTTTCTCTTGAAGACTTTTACCCTTGTCCCAGCAGTGTTTCTGACATCTTCTAGTAAGATGTTGAACAATCTGGGACCATGAATGTTGATACAATGTTTTCTTGTTGTGCCCACAGTGTCCCTGCCCTTCACTTGGCTTATCTTACACTTCTTCCTGTATCCCCCACTTCGGCGAGAGATATGGCATATTTCTATTACAGTGGTACCCCAGTTTTCATCTTTAATCCATTCCAAAAGGTCGGTCAAAATCCAAAATGGACGAAAACTGAGGTAATATTTCCCATAAGAAATAATGTAAATCTAATTAATCCATTCCAGATACCCAAAAATATTAACAAAAAATACATTTTATAGAGAATAACTATAATTTAACATACAGAAAACAATGAGAAATAAATATAAAGCACTAATTTTAATGGATAAATGAACATTTAAATCACTATTACATACCTTTACTGAAGACTCTTGTTGGTATATGGAAGAAGGGGAGGAGGGGAGAGAGAGGAGAGGTTACTGTTTGGAAGGGAAATCCCCCTCCATAAGGACTTCAGGTATCAAAGCCCTATCCGAGGTTACTTCCCTTCTTTGTCTTTTACTGGCACTAGGACCATCTTGAGAGCCAATGCACCCGTCGCACAGAAAATCTGTCCAGAGGCCTGGCGAGCTTGTCCACACGTACGCCACTCGTATTTTCATACAAGTTCTTTCTTTAATTCTATCATGTTTCTCACCTTCTTTACCAAAGGGCTGGCACCCTGAACTTTCTTTGGCCCCATGGTGGCTTATTTCGCAGTTGCACTCAATAAACAAGCACCAAAAACAATGGATGAATGTGCGGAGTATTATTCACTCAACAAATGACAGAGGCAGACTGAGTTAGGCAGCGGTGTCCCGGGCAGGCGGACGCATCTGATGCAGACAATTTCCGAGTCGCTGTACAAAACCTAGAGTAGAAATTCGCTGTAAAAAGTGATCAAAATCTGAACTGTACGACATTCGGACCGGACAAAAACCGGAGTTTTACTGTATCCCTTTCTATTACATATCTGTATTAGCTTTTATATAATTTGATCAACATCTAAAACAGATAGCAAATGCTTTAGGTATTACCTACAAGATTATTCATAAAATTTAGATATGGTACACTCTAATCTAAATGACATGCACAACATTGGGATCAAATGATAGTAAATCTTATTTGGTTTTGTTGGCTCATTTTAGTTTAACTCATCCCTTGTCACTGTTATATGTCAATACTACTACTACTACTACTACTACTACTACTACTACTACTACTACTACTACTACTACTACTACTACTACTATGACTACGACTACTACTAACAGTTTATTTCTTTGAGGCATACAAATAATGTGGATAAATGTGTTAGTACAATAGTAATCACAAAAGAAATCCACTAATTATGCAATGCATTAAATATAAAATTAAATGTAAATAATTCATTCACAGCTGTAAAACCACCAGTGCATGCTAAAAACAATAAAAAACTTATTTTAAGAATGTTTATAAAAAAATGTCAGATTAAAATCCATTACAATATAAAACACCCACATCAGCCCACAACCCACCAACAGCCCACAACATTAAAGAAATGCATTAAGAGGAGTGTATCTTCAAGGACCCCAATGGAAATAAGTCATTTTGTTTGACTTTTTTTGGGGTTGTCCTTGGTAATTTACACATGTTACGATGGACAATCATTTGTATAACTGTATTTATGTGTACCTGTACCTGAATGAACTTACTTACAAACATTATGCACTCTCTCTCTCTGTAACAATGTGACTAAATTTATTTAACCCTTAAACAGTCCAAACAGATCGACGTTCAAATTCGTAGTGCTACAAAAGTAGATCTACTTTCTTTTACATATTTTCAAATATAACAAAAAAAAATGTAGATAAGTTTTTTTACACATTTTCAAATGTTAAACAAAAAAAGATCTACATTTTTTTACATACTTTCAGATGTTGAAAAAACGTATATATACGTTTGGACCATTTAAGGGTTAAAGACAGGTACACGTAAGTGCAATTATCATACGTACATAGTGTAAATTATCTATGATAACCCCCCAAAAAAGTCAAGGTGATTTATATCCATTGTTATGGCAATGATAATATCACAGTGTGCACGGAAGTACCTGGCATTTTTTGTCGCTGCCCTACTAATAACACTGCTGAATGTATATAACTAATTTAACCTAGCTCAGTCCTAGACAGAATGCCAATGATGTCACAGATATTACCTAGTCACTGATCAGTCAGTAATGTCCAATATTTTTCTACTGGTAAAGAGTTCTTCCATACATAGATTTAATAACATTATTGACAAACACTACCTTAACATACCCTAACCATTTTATGAGACACTGAGAAAAAACCTGATGACCTCCCCAGTGAGTGAATGTTGCATGTTCTATACAACAATGTTTATCAGTTTTTAAAATGACATTAGTCTAATCAAAACTGTACTACAGATGGCTACTGAGACATTGTTACAAAGATTTATAATTGATTTTCACAATAGTGACATTTGGTGAATTCATCCTTTTTCTTCTCAGTGCCTCGCATAACTCTTATGTTAGTGGTTCTGGGAATTATCTTTCCCACAGTCCACTCTCAGACCAGGCCACATAGATTGGAAAGGAAATACAGTATATATTAAAGGATTATGGATGACAGTATTAATTATTATTATAATCAAAAAGAAGCGCTAAGCGATGACAGTATTAAGAAACAATGGAAAGTAAAGAGATGTGTAAACTGAATGTATGCAATTTTTTTTTTTTTTTTTTTTTTTTTTTTTAAGATTAACAGTCATTTTACATTTTCAAGAGACAGAAGGAAAAGATCTGCACTTCTACCAGTGCAAGAAATGTAACAGGTTCCCATTTCACACTCATATGACAGATCTTGTACAAGGTACACAATTTTTCAAGTATCTCGTTACAGAATTCACCTCCATTATCTGTTACTAAGGACTTAGGGATGGTATGCCTGCAGATAATGCGTTCTTTAAACGCTTTAGCTACTGTCTCGGCAGTCTTATCTGCAATAGGAACTAACTCACAACACCCTGGATGGTTGCTGTTTACCAACCTACTGCCTAACCTAAAATAACCCTCAAGTATATTGTTGGCTTACTCATAATTATATTTTAATAAGGTGGCCCATGGTTTGTTTGGCAATGGTCTATCCTCACACACTGAATCTCTGTAGTTCGAGCCCCGACACGGGTGAAAATGTTAGGCATGTTTCCTTACACCTGCTGTCCCTGTTCACCTAGCAGTAATTAGGTACATGTACTTTGGAGTTAGTTAAATGGCATGAATCACATCCTGAGGGACAAAATTGAAGGACCCAAATAAAAATCAGACAGACAGTCCTCTTCGACACAATGACTTTCTCAGGTTATCCTGGGTGGCTAACTCTACAGATTAAAAATCTGAACAAATATTAGCTTATCTTAAACCTGATGCCTGAATAACTCACTAACATAGGTGATTTGAAGTTTGTGATTTTGCTGGATACTCCTAGATACATTTGTAGCCAGTCATGTAGAACTCAGCAGTATAATATCACAAGAGAAAGCAATCACTATCCATTTCAGCTTTGGCAAGATATGCTTGTTTTGCTTTGGTAGTTACAATTCATCCCAGGACAAAATTAGCATTAATTTTTGATAAAAATTCATACAAAGATCTTAAAGACCAATACCTTATTTTCACGCCGGGTATCCAAAACTTCCCAGTTCCCCTGCGATTTGTACAAGGGTCGTAGATCAAAGACATTGCCATCATCGTCCTCCACGACACATTCAGGAGGCTTTGGCGCACACACTGCGAAAGTCTTGAGGCTGAATATTGTCGTGCTCTCATTTGAAGAGACAAAATAAATATGAGGTGTGGTTCTGGATCTATCACAGTAAAGTTCAATTTCAACAGAGTGGCCCTCTTGTTTATAAAAAAGAATTAGTCTCTCTTCTTCCCATTCCAGGTTCATATTCTTTGTTGTACCTAGAACAACAGGGTTGCTACCATTTTTCACATTACATATGGTTGCATCTCCCCTTCCACAACTGCCATTGGTAACAGCACCACAGATATTTATCTCGTATGTAGACTCTGCTCGTTTAACAGTGTAAAAACTGGAAGAGTGTAGCGCATGAAGGTTAAGTACTTGATCTGAATTGGAAAATTTGACAGTACAAGAAGTAGGGTCCTGAGCATCCAGTTTCTTAGGACAGGCAGCCTTGGTCATCCAGGCAAAGAGGAAGTCACATCCTCTGGAGCTCATGAACACTGGTCCAGATGCTCCATAATGGACATCAGAGGGACAGATGAGGTTGACTGAGGTCTTGTACGTCTTCCCACCACCTCTATGGGGGCATGGTTGACCACTATCATAAGCATATTCCAGCCAGCCTTCTTCAGCCACTCTTATCCCTGTGGTGGGCAGCTGTCCTGCGTTACTGACAACCACCTGTGGCTGTGTGTTATTTCCACCTTCATGCTTGACCACACACACCCCTGTAGCATTTCCAGCACATACACTAGGTGCATTCCTCAGTCCATGACACAGGGACAGATAGAACACTCTCCTCTCATCAATACCAGTATGCAAAGTTTCCGTCACCTTCCAATAGTCTCTGTCAGCCAGTTCACTCACATCATACAGCTGTGCACCATCAGTGACCTGACACAGGTCACTTACACTGTACACACCACTAATACCCAGGTACACAGCCAGGAACACCACTCTGAGATACATAATGTCCTGAATCTCACCAACATTAACACTCTGGCTAAGTCACATGAGTGAGCATCACACAACACAGCTGACTCACTACGGCGCACTTATTACCTCCTGCCTCTCTCACTCTCTTCACTCTACATTTATTATCACTATCTTCTTCCATGCGATGTATTTCTTCAGGTGCTTGCTTCTCCAGTACCAGCTGAAGGACGTGTTCTAAACGTGATAAAACGGAATTATTAACCAGAGGTTCTAATATCTCTGTATTTTAACTCGCTACTCGTTAAATTATAACACAATAATTATAATCATTATAATGTTTCTTAAGGCCTATGGAGCATAGAATTATCAGCCTGAATTTGTGTTTGGATTCGGGGTCAAGATAATATTGTTTCAGTTATTATATTTTTCCTGAATTAACGTTACGTTACATTAAATTATCTTATCAATTAAAGTGACAATGTAATTGCAGAGGTTGATTAAATGTGATATTTAATAATCTTATATTTCCAATTAATAAAGTAGCTGAGGTTTGGTTAAGCTTATTTGCGGTATTATAGTGTCATTTTCACGTTCGATACAAAAACATATATAATTTAGTTATCAGAATAAGGCTCCCATAAATTTTCCGAACGAAGCCTAAGCCGCAAAACGAACACCGATCACACCATACGAACAAACGTCTTATCATGAAAACATAAGAACATAAGAACATAAGAACGAAGGAACACTGCAGAAGGCCTACTGGCCCATGCGAGGCAGGTCCAAGTCCCTACCGGCCTAAGCCAATGCACCCAACCTAGTCAGGTCAGGTCACATTGACTTAAGGGAGGAACACGGCAACCGACCTGTTAGCACAAGCTATCAGGTCTAACTCACACCCACCCACATCTACTCATGTATTTATCCAACCTATTTTTAAAGCTACACAACGTTCTGGCCTCTATAACGGTACTTGGGAGTTTGTTCCACTCATCCACAACTCTATTACCAAACCAGTACTTTCCTATATCCCCCTGAATCTGAATTTTTCCAACTTAAAACCATTGCTGCGAGTCCTGTCTAGGCTAGATATTTTCAGCACACTATTTACATCCCCTTTATTTTTTCCCTGTCTTCCACTTATAAACCTCAATCATATCCCCCCTTAATTCTACGTCTTTCTAGAGAGTGCAGTTTCAGGGCCCTTAGTCTATCCTCATAGGGAAGGTTTCTGATACATGGGATCATCTTTGTCATCCTCCTTTGTACATTTTCCAGAGAATTTATATCCATTCTGTAATACGGTGACCAAACTGTGCAGCATAATCTAAATGAGGCCTAACCAAGGATGTATAGAGTTGAAGAACAACCTGAGGACCCCTATTATTTATGCTTCTTGATATGAAGCCAAGGATTCTATTAGCTTTATTGCGAACACTTATGCACTGTTGTCTTGGTTTCAGATTACTGCTAACCAGAACTCCTAAAACTTTTTCGCAATCCCTAATATTAAGATCTACATTATTAGTTTATATGTGGCATGGTTATTGTCCTGTCCAACATTTAGAACTTTGCATTTGTCTATATTAAACTGCATCTGCCACTTCTCCGACCACTGCATCAGTCTATTCAAATCTTCCTGGAGTGCTCGAATGTCCTCGTCAGAATGAATTCGACGGCCTATTTTGGTGTCATCGGCAAACTTGCCGATGTCGCCTCTTTATGCCCTCATCTATGTCGTTTATGTAGATTGTGAACAGCAGGGGGCCAACACTGACCCCTGTGGAACACCGCTCGTGACGCTTCCCCACTCTGATTTCTCCCATTTATGCAAACTCTCTGCTGCCTATTTGTCAACCATGCCTCTATCCAGGAAAAAATTTCTCCTCCTATTCCATGTGCTTTAATTTTCCTCAATAGTCTTGATGTGGGACCCTGTCAAAAGCCTTACTGAAGTCCATATACACAATATCATATTCATTACCATGATCTACCTCCTCAAATACCTTAGTGAAAAAAGTTAATAAATTCGTAAGGCAGGAACGCCCCTTTGTAAAAAACCCTGCTGAGATTCGTTGATTAATTTATGCTTTTCAAGGTGGCTACGAACTGGGCCTCGGCAATATTGATTCCATAAATTTTCCCACTATGGAGGTTAGGCTTATTGGTCTATAGTTCGAAGCTAAGGACCTGTCACCTGTTTTGAAAATAGGTATCACATTTGCCATTTTCCACTTCTGGCACCATGCCGTTTGTAGTGATATGTTGAAAAGATTAGCCAAAGGTGTGCTAAGCTCCTCTTTAATTCCTTTAGAACCCTTGCATACATTTCATCAGGGCCTGGGGATTTGTTAGGTTTTAATTTATCTATTTGCCTAAGGACCATGTCACTTGTGACCCTATAGTGCACAGTTTATTATCGTCCTGTTCTACATAATTTTTTCATTACTGGAATATCGCTGGTAATCCTCCTGTGTAAAAACTGAGAGGAAGTATGTGTTAAAAATTCTACACATTTCCTTATCACTGTCAGTGAGCTGACCCGAGGAACTTTTGAGTGGGCCTATTTTTGCCCTGACCCTTACTTCTGTATACCTGAAAGAATCCTTTTGGGGTTAGTCTTCGATTCTTGCAACTTTAACCTCATAATCTCTTTTTGCTTTTCTAATTCCTTTTTTTATTTCTCTCTTTAAACTGAATATATCGATTTCTTAATTGCCCTCTCCTCTTTTGATTTGCCTATATATGCCTCTCTTTTGACCAATCAGATATTTTAATTTATTGTTCATCCATTTGGGGATCATTTTTGTTTGATCTGATTTCCCTATTTGGAACTTTAATTTGACTGAGCAGCTAGAATATGCCCTGGAAAGCATCATATCGGCAACCATCACCACCTCCCTGCCCCCTTAGTCAGGTCATTCCAGTTCACCCCACCTAAGTAATTTTTCAGTCCTATGAAATCAGCCAAGCGAAAGTCAGGGACGGAGACTTGATTGCCATTATTGGGGGAAATTCCATGAATATTTTTAAAACTGAGTGATTTGTGATCACTCCCCCAAGCTCATCAATTAAACCCTAAAGATTATTAATTAGTGTTCCCTACTGGCAAGAACCAAGTCAAGGAGGTTATTTCCCCTAGTGGCTCTGTCACAAACTGTTTTAAAAACAATCCTGGATGTATCAAGAAAGCACCCGACTCTAAATTTCCTGTCAAATTGCTCCAGTCAATCTGTCTATAGTTGAAATCTCCCTTAGCACAACATTTTCGTATGTAGATGCCTTATGAATTTCGCCCCATAGAAGTTTACTGCACTCCCTATAAAAGATTTGGGGCCCTGTAAATCACACCCAAAATTGTTTTTCTGGGCCCCTCGAGAAGCTGAAAACCAAACAGATTCAGTGGCTGACGCTTCTAATTTTTAATATTTGTCTAACACAAAAATTTTAAATTGTCTCTGACTTTACATCGCTACTCCACCACCTTTCCTGTTGACCCTGTCAGTGGGGAATAATTTATAGCCTTGTATGTGACATTCAGAGGGCATCTCTCTATCTTTCAGATTGACCCAAGGTCTCTTTTATGCAATAATATCTATGTTTCCTGCACTTGCAATAATCCCTTAGCTCACTATCTTATTTTAACACTCCTGCTATTAGTATAGTAAACCTTAAGGGAGCTAGTCCCTTGCTGCCCTCTGCTGTCCCCCTTTGTTTGCTGACCTGTTCTATTGTCTTTATTTAACTTCATGCTAAATGCCTTTTTATACATTTACTGTTTCCAACCCTAGTGTTGCAACTGCTTGTTTCCCACACCACCCATACCTCTATCTTCCATCATTTTAAAATCATAGGCTTTTCACCAATGGCCTTCTAAATCGAGTCTGCAAGTGCTACCACCCCTGCCCAGAGAGATGAACCCCCTCCCTTGCATACATATCATGTTTGCCATAAAAGTTGTTCCAGTTGTCAATGAATGGGATTGCAAGTTCCTTGCAGTATCTGTTAGCCAGCAATTTACACCAATTGCCCTAGACAACCATTCATTTCCTACTCCCCCTTTTGGGAAGATGTACATATGATTGGGATCCCTCCCCTTTGACTTAATGGGAAATCTATAGCTGACCTGTACTTTTCTAGCAGCTCTTCTCTCCTACCTTCCCAATATCATTTCCACCAGCACTGAGACAGATATGGCTTGTTCCCATTACCTGGACATTGATATTATCCAGTCTGTTGACAATGTCCCCAACACCAGCTCCAGGGAAGCACACTCTATCTCTCATCTTCTTATTCCTATACAAAAAGCACGGTCAACTATCTTACCTGAGAGTCACCAACCACAAGAATGCGCTTACCTTCATTAGCAGGGGCGTAGTACCCTTACCTTCACTGGCCACTGAAGTACATTCATCCTGGAGAACAGAGAAGCGATTTCTACCTTAGATCTTCACTCTTAACTTTCCTTTCTCTGATGCGCCTCCCATTACTGTGAACAACTCGCCACTTGTAGCAGGTGCTAGGCTGCACCTCACTGCTGGTAGCCGTTGCTACCTCCCCACCTACAGCCTCCTCACAGTGAGAGACAGACTGCACCTCACTGCTAGAAGCCTCATTCCCCACATCTCCAACCACCTCACACTCTCTCCCAGGCCCATTGAGGTGGACCTTCAGCCTCCTAATCTCCTCCTGGAGAAGCAAGACCTCCTCCTTCAACTCTCCAACCTCAGTTTTTAAAACACTGCAGAAGCAAGCCATGCTTTGTAACCGTCCACGCTAATCCCCAAAGCAGCTCGTAGGTTATATATCTTGTATAAATTCCATTAAATGCAATTTTTTTAATGCAAATATCTTTTTTTTGTCGAGCCATCCATACAGACAAACCATTATATTTTATTTTAAATAAAGACGTATAGGGTACAGTTGAGTCAGCATGATTATTACATCACTGGAAAACTTTGTGTATTCCAAGATGCTTGTGAAGGGCTCTTGATTCAAGGAATTAGAGCTATCATTTCCTTCCTTGCATCACACCCGAATGTCACCCATTCCTCAGGCACCGTATGATACTTACGGGTTTAGGGCTTTCCAACAATATATAATAATTGCTGTACTCACAGTCTTGCCCCCGCCATTCTTATATCTTTATCTATAATGTGAATAATAATGATGTGTGCACAGCTGGAGTTACTTTTTTACATTGAAATTATCATTGTAGATAACACGTCACACGCAGATTTTGAATAATGATGCCCATATCAAAACTAGCACCAT